CTGATTCCTATACTGATAACTTTCCGATATCACCTGAAGAACAAATGTACGGAGCAGATGTTAAGATAATTTATTTGTTGAAAAGATTTCAAAATGGAGCATCAGTTCGAAATTTTATCGGTATTTCATTCAAACAATTCATCATATTTCATATTTTATACTAATTATTTTCTTTTTTCGCAGGTGCATATGTGGTCACATATGACGACAAATTTAAATTAAACGATTTGATTGGATTGATAATACAAGGAAGAATTAAGCCAAAACCAGAAACACAACAAATAATTTTGCACGAGATGAAATTATAAATTTTAATTTATTTTTTAAATTGTTTTCTACAACTTTAGATTTTGTTCATATTTTAATCAAATTCATCAATAAAATTTAAATACTATTAAAATAAATAAATTGTATTTTCTATTGGTCGAATTTCGACCACTGGCGACCCTAGTCTGTATAAATCGGCTTATTGAGTGTGAAATGTCCTTAGTTCCATAACATCATTATCCCGGTAATAGAAAAAAATATAGTTATTTTTTTCTCAAGCACCTCCTTGGGCATCTAAAAATCTCTTCTGAAACGTGAATCGTGCCAATTTGGTTTGTTCTGTAAAGTAATTCGTCATTTGTCATGATGTAATCGTCGGAGCGCGCATCCGTTCCAGGGCAATGATCATGTCACACATCAATCACTTTCGAGTTACACGTTACGCGTGCTCAACTCATCTGAACTCAACTCAACTCAACACGGCAATAAAAATACAAAAATAATAAAAATAGAAATAAAAATAATAAACTAAAAATAATTTTGTAACTGAAATAATCATAAAATGCAGTATTGTTAGCGTTGAACAATTAATTTCATGTATCTGCAGACACAAATAAATAGCTCCGCACAAGCAAATTGATGCACAAGTACAGACAGAATAAAACACTGATTAGGACACGGAAGGAAGCGTGCATTATAGAATAGAAAAGGACATCATCGTTTGTAGTTGGAAGTGCAGCTGCCACTTGCAAACTTGATTCAAGTGTGGCGCTTGAGCAGTGAGCATTGTTGTCCCTGATGAATGGGAAAGGTAAAGCGGCGAAGAGGAGGGTTGAATTATAGATAATTGTCCAGCGGCACTTGTACTACGATATTTAAACAATTGTAATTCTAAAGCAAATAAAATTGTTCAAATAGAAACAAAGGACTCATTGTGCATACGATCCTTTGAAATCATTGTTTACATGTGCATTCAATTGTTAGATACATAAACCAAACTCATAAATTTTTCTTTTTAGTATTTGTTTTATGAGCATTGAACATGCATTTGAACACGAAAATTAAACAGGAAACTTTAAGCTAGACATAAAAATATTAAATCCTTTCACGTTAAAAGCTTTAAGCAATGATATAAGCGGGTCATAAATCACAATTAGGTCAAGCACCCCGTAAGTTGATATAATAAAAAAATTATAATCCGAAAGTGAAACTTTATATATGCTTCCAACGGATGGATAGGTTGCAACATGTACATGTGGGCATCCAAAATTAAACAAAAATGTAATTTTGAAAAAATTAAATACAATAGAAGTACAATGGTGTTCCATTTTTTAGTATTTAAAAATACTAAAAAATCCCATAAAGCATTGTATTGCAACATAAGTTTTGAAAAATTTGCAACTACTACGAACCTTTAATATAGCACAAAATACTTTTCAAAGATACGTCTTTGTAACTAATTAAGATTATCTAGCAAGTAAGTCCCTAGCATGTTTAACCTATGTTGCGCATGTGCCAAACGAAGACCAAACAAATGAGAAATACTTCTTCAATTTTCCTGAATACTACAACGAGTTATTGCAAAAAATATTTAATCTTCTGGCATGCTTACCATAACGGAAGTAACCCATCAGCTGCTAAAAGAATAATTTTACTATGAAGCATTCTAGGACCAAATAAGCGAAACTAGTAGAACTTGTGATAACTGGCTTTCTAGAAACCCAGCTGAGACCCATCTTTAGACTATTGAGAACTAAAAGTTCTTATGCTGTATAAGATGAAAGATTTATACAGCATATTTATCTGGGAACTACCTTAAATACCAAAAATGATGTCATTTTGGTGATCCAACGAGGAATCAATCTTGCAAACAGAAGCTACTTTGGATTTAGTAGGTATTAAAAAATAAATAAAATACACTTTACAAATCTTTTATCATGTTTGTCCTACTTCATGGTGCAGAACTGGATTAATATCCAACAGTGATGAGAAAGCAGCAACGAAATGTATGGAACGAAAAATTGTTTATAGTGCCCAACTGCAATAATAACCAACGGTTATGATAAGGCGACAACGAATTATATGGAACGAGGAATTGTTTGAGCAATGCCAAGACACTCTTATGTTTAGTTGATTGTTTTCAGTAGCAAGTCAGTACGTATTCTTCCATTATATTTAGTAACCAATTATTAACCATTTTACTACCACATTCCTTGCAAGAAATCTTAAAATATAAAAAGACATTGTATTTAGATAGTTTATCAGTTTTATCATCCTGGCAAACTATTCCTTGCAAGAAACCTTAAAAGATAACAAGACAAACTAGCCTCTTGAATTTAGATAGTTTAGCAGTTTTATCATTCTGACAAACTATTAAAGAGTACTGCCCTAAAAACTTGTTCTTCTAGAAACTAAGGCGAGGCAGTTATAGAGAAATGGCTTGGTTGTTTCTTCTTCCTCTAAGTTTCCACCACTTCTACAAATGAAAATTATACCGAACGCGCAGTTCTTCTGCATGAGTTCCTTACACCTGTGGTCAGAGAATATTTCAGACAGTGACATATCTAAGCGTATTACAATCTAACGATCTTACTGACTTCAAAATGAACATAAATGCTCCGATTAGAAATGTTACTGATTGAATTTTTGCTAATGGCAAATGCGGTAAAAGATGTTTCTATTATATTTCTATCAAACGACGACAACAAGTTGTGGATCGAACTGGCTAGCATAGGATACTAATCGTATACAAGGACGTTACTTGCCTTCGAAGACGAAGTAAGTAAGTAAAAGTTAACAATGAAACAATGTTTTGAAAGCATACCATAATTGTTTTCAGAACAAGAAAACTACAAAGGGCGGAACACAAAATATTTATATACGCAGTATGTCTCTTATTTATAACCACGCCTTGAAACTAAATAATTTTGAGTTTTTGAACTGGAACTGAGCTTCGTACTAATCACACTTCAAACTAATGAAATCTCAATTATAATATAGTTTATCCTCACCGTATGTGGTACTCAATGATCAAAAGCCATTGTTGTTAAATAGGAGTAAATGCAACACCACCAGTTTACTGCACTTTCACAATAGACTGCGTTCCCATAGACAAAATGTTACACTTTTGTCATATATATTATGGTCCTTTGAAATTTTTGCACAATTGCAACTGCAGTTGCTCTGAAACTGATTTTATCACGCAAGATTAAATTATATAAAATTTATGGTTGATGTAATTATTATGTAATGCATTATCAGTATGAAAATTTGTTATATTTTCTAATGGAAGTTAAATTACGTAGATTATCAAGAGATGTCCTGCAGCGTCAATCATTCATACAACAGCCATTCTAAAACTCAGACATCCCTCTCCTGCACAGTGGCTCGTAGATGTCATTCTTAGTAAAATACAACAAAACGATAACGAGGATAACAATAAGCAGCAATTATGATCAATGACTGAATCATAAAAAAGGACATTTACAAGGACATTCCATGTTATCCTATGCACTTTTACTACTTTATGCAATTTTTGTGCAGCTTCGGTGATTCGATTATTGCAAAATTATGTGAAGCGTATTTTTACTATAAACTCATATGCAAATTTTTACTACAACAATTTGGGGATTGACCCTCTTCTAAGCCTAAAAGGTACTTAAGTGCACTCAATCATTGTTGCAGTAAAGTAAAAAAGTACGAGTATTTCCGTTGCGTTTAGTATTTAAATTGTTGCACCGCAATTATAAATATTTTGCTGCATTTATATTACAATTTATGAAAATTATTATTGGCATTTGCAAGGATGCATTGAGTGTATTGTAGGAATTTTATTATTATTTTTTTTTGATTTATTGTTTTGAAATGTATTGTAGGTATGATAGTAAAAAATGTATAGGAGGGTTGGTTTGAAAATTTACTTAATGATTCCTAAAAAAAAACCTTATATATTTTGCGAAAAAAATAATAGATTTTATTACACATTACTGAAAAGTATATACAAAATTTATTTAGTCCTTTAAAAATCCTTTATTAACACTTAATTTTTGGTACAAAGTCAATTAAAACGTAGCCAGTATGCATTTAATTATTTGCTATTAGCTAAATCCGGAATTCTGTTGAATCCTGAAGTGAACTGAAAAGGGGTTGGCGATTGTGCACTCGTTACACTTTATTCTTTCGTTTATCACATTAAATATTAAGGTTCATTAAATTTAGTCCACATTTCATTTCGACTGAGTAATCACATAAATCAAACTCAAAACAAAATGTATAAATCATAAAAAACACAATTAGAACCGTACAGTTGAAAGTGGCGTGTGTCAATTTTTACCAAAATTTTCAAGTATCTCTAACGAAATTACCTACAACATCCATTAACGTTAACCCTTTCATCCTCACTGCATTGAAAAGAAAAATGTTTTTTCCAATTCACTGCAGCTCTAAATATACATTAAAATAAAGGTACACGCAACCTTTGCAAAGGCATATTAATACGTATAAACATAACTTTGTTTAGTGCAAAAATCCGTATCCTGTGTCCTTTATTTTGTTATCCTTTTTTAGGAGTACATATTTGGTTTTTGATAAACATCACAGTTTGCTATCCCAAATTTTCTGCTGTGCAATTTTTTATTATCTAAACAACTCATCACTTGTCTTTTCATACAATGCGCCGTACACTATGCCGTTTCATAAGATAAAATTAATAACTATGATAAATTTATTTATAGATTATTGAATGCCGTATAAATGATTTGAAGTATGAGGAAAATTAATGTAGATTCCATTCCAATATATAAGGTCATATAAACTCAACGAACAGCATGCGTTCTTCTAATTACACACAAAATATTATAATCTCTTTAATTTGTAAATAAACCGGATCAATAAACTTTTAATTAAATTTAATAGAGCATAGGCGGCATAACCTGAAAACACCTAGTGAAAACTCTCTAGCTATCAAACACCAATATTATTCCCAGATTTGCAAGCGATCTGGTCCTCCAGGTTGGGGATTGATCGCAAGGTCAGCAGCCTCGCATTGGCATTAAAACACCCGCTACGCAACCTTCTTTAAAGGTTCACACAGGACTGTAGCGCCAAATAAGAAGAAGAAAAAGATACAAAAACTCGTTTAGTTGCAAAGCGAGTGATATTTTCGGTGAATAAAGAAAATTGCAACTGATTTGTTTTGGACAAAATGAAAACAAGCAAACGGAAACTTAATGACAAATAGTCGGTGGAAATTTAACCGCCATCAGAGTAAGAAATTCGGTTTGCCACACTAAGTATATTTTGACATAACCTTAACCTTGAAATAGCATTTTTGATGTGTGGCAAATAGCATGTGGAGACAATATACCATTCTTCGTGATCACCTCAAAGTGGTTGCGGAGATTCCAGACCAAACATATATCTGTGAAGGTTTTATCTCGGAATGTCGCTTGCATATAAATAAAATACTTTTGGTTTAAATTCTTAATTTCTTCATTTAATTTCTTTTTTATTTCTTATTATAGTACATACACATTTTAATTATAAATTATTAATATAACATCATTAAAATCAGTATAGTTAATGATACTGTTCAATGAAAATATAATGTGCATGAACAATATTCTACTTTAAGACATCAACACCGAGTATGAAATATTGACTAACTGATCATAAACATATCATAAACACTACAACATATTTATGGGTACGTATTTACTATTGAATATCAATCTGTACCAGCAAAGATATCAGCAGAGTTTAGTAAACTTACACATGAAGATATAAACTTTTAATTTTGGAATAAATACATTTTGATTGCATTCTTTCTACAAATAAAATCCAAAATATCCATTATATGATGTATATATTCATTATTATGATGTCTGCTAAAAGGAGCCTAACCGAATTCTAATGCCACTCAGATATGGTTTGCCATACAAAACGACTTAATTAAAATTAATGCAAATAAATGACCAAAATTCGACATGCAAAGCAGTTGTTACTCAAGCCGTTTGGTACGAGTTAACATTTGTATCTTTTACGTATTTAACCGAATTTAACCAAGCTAATGTGTTTTTTGTGTGTGGGAGAAGATGTTTGTCACTTGAAAAATTAGTTAATTTTCAACAAAGCCACATTCGCACAAAAATCCAAATAAACAAAATTCAGTCCCAGAAAAATTCCTATAACTGTTTGGTGATTTATTACATAAAAATAAAAACACAAAATAGATAAACAAATAAATATTTATTTAGTCAACAATCTTTTGTTAGGTAACTTCATTCTAAAAGAATCTATTAGTTTTATATTCAGTTCCATGGAGTCGTTTTTAATTTGCTCGTATCAATCGAAAGTAAATAAACGTGTCAAAATGTTTTGTTACTTGAAATTTATTTTAAAATTTTACTGTTCTTTCATTTGTTGTTATAGTTGTAGTTCTATAGTTGTTGTTGGTGCTGTACCAGTTCGATGGGTGTTCACTGTAAAATCATATGAAGAAATTCAATTTATTAGGGTGCGTATCAGATTACCAACTTGTGGCTCTGATAAAAAACTTGAAAAGAGCAAACCATGACAGCATCAAAAGTGAAAAAAATGCGCAACTAAAGTAGCAAATCCGTGGCATGAAAAAGGTCAACATAATGCATTGGCTTTGAAGTATCTTTTTATCTATATATATATAGCATGAGTACATGTGTAGCTTGTTTGACATTAACAAGAGTAACAAAATTTCACACTACTTATATTTAATTTAAAAAAAAAAATTCTACATATTAGAAAATCAGGATATGCTAAAAAGGATGGTTGAAAAGTGCAGCACAAAATGCAGATTTCAGATAAGAAAGCCATGAACTCATAGACAACGTTTCCATTGGCGTTAATATAGCAGGTTAAACGAGAATTAAATTTATTTGGCTTATGAATTATATGGGTCAAATTACACACGCATATAATTATTCAGTGAATCAAGTAAATACAAATTTACATATAACATATTTTAGAATTAATGAGATATAATCTATAACAAAGAATTACACAGAAAAAAATTTTAAAATAAAAAAAAATTTTTTTTTACAAATAAAATGTTTGAGTCGATAGTAGCTAAATGGGAAATTTAGAAGAAAAACCTACAAAAAATGTATTATGTATTAATTTGCTATAAATAAAAAATTTTATAACTAATTTGCAATATGTAATAATAATGATATTTATAACAAAAGATTTGTTATGGACTCGTATTAGCTCTCAATATAAATGATATAACAACATTGTCAATCAGAGACAAACATTACCCATTGTAATGCCCCTAAAGTTGCTCAGGAGGCGCAAGCCAGACTAATTGAATGTTCCATTATAATACTGTCTGCTATGCTTCTTACACCATTTCTTCCTCTAGACATTAATGTTACTTCATTTGGACTTCTGCACAAAGACATTATCAGAGTCAGCCACTGCCCATTGTGATGTCCTCAAAGTTACCCGGATTAGGACAGCTAAACTAACCATTATAGTTCCTTATGCTATCCTTCTTAAGCCATTTAGTCATCTGATTATCTGTTAAGCTCACTTTTGCTCTCCCTGCCAACCCAATATTCTAGCCTTAAAATACATTTCATCTGTAGTCTTGGAAAACGACATAAAAAATTACATATGGGTTTCAAATTTTCTTTACCAACACAACAGTAGCATAGTTCGTTTGTCGCAATATTCCGCAATTAAAGCAACGGTTAAATAATGTGAAGTGCCCTGTTAGCATTCCGCTGAAACTTGAAAGATCTTTCTTTCTCTGTCTATCTAATTTACAGAACCCAGCTATCTTATAGTCTTAAAAAAATATAAGTACATAACAATACATCTCGATATTAAACTGGTATTTAAAATTGATAATTAAAATGTTTAAATAGTCTATGCTAATTATTTTTAAATAAAAACTTTTTTAATTATTAATTATTTTAATTATTGTATTTATTAAAATATTCTTATTTAATTTTCCTATTTATGTGTACAGCGAATTAAAAGTTAATTATCTTATAGTTATATTAAAAATGTATCAAATTGATTTAAATAAATTTAAACATTCAGTGGTATTTATACACAATTTTAATAGTTTCCGCAATAAAAGTTAATGTGTTAATTCTGTATTGAACTTGCACTTTAAATAATAAAATACTTAATTGAAATAAATAAGTATTTTTAAATATTTATTTAAATAACGTTTATTTTTTAATAAATATTTTTCTTAATTTAACACAACCTTAGCATTAAAGAAATATAAGACCTCTTATCCAGATCAAATTTATATCATCTATAAAACTGTTCTACGTCATCAAGATCTGTTAAGCACAAAAGATTAAAAGAAGATGTATCTATTTATATCAAAGAACTTTAATGGAAAAAATATAAGCGTTATTGAATGCTTTTACTAGATGTTGTTTTATTTTTTAATATAATTTTACAGTTCTTCACTTATCACGCCCCATAATTTAAAAACATACATTTCTCTTAATCACGGATACTAATAAAATCATTAGATATTACTTATCATTTACAAACACACACTCATATTTAATTATATGCCTACTTATACACAATAATTTCTTGAACAAAAAATTAATGTCTCATATGTTTTATTTTACTAAAATAATTTTCTAGCGATTTTTAAAAATCTATTTGATAGATACTATTTTATCACATCTATAAAGAAACTTTTACGTAAATATCTTATCTAAAACTCACACTTTAAATTTCTTATCATTCAATTATTTATATGCTCTGCACCTGTTGACCTCTAAGATTTTTCAAAACATCATCAAACATAAAAAACTATCTGATAAAAAAGAGAAATGAATTCAAAGCATATCACAATCGCATTTATTTTGATAATATCATCAAACCAAATATGTTTGCAACATGTTCATTGTTGTATCAAACATTTTTATTAAGCGCTACATCAGAAATTCTGCACTTAACTTTATATTAGGTAGGTAAATAGGTATACTAAAATACATATCAAAATACGATATTACAAATATAATATATAACACATTTAATGTATCAAAGAATGAAAGCATGATTTATTAAATAAATATTATAAATAAAGCATTTAATATACTTAATAATATACTCATAATATATACTTAATATAATATCGTTCAACATTTAATTCAAAATAACGAATTCGTAGTAAACCCATTTATTGCCACTTATATGAGTCAGTAGAATAAATCCTTTACTGATGTACATACTTGGGAGACATATAAGCGAAGTCATAGCTCTAATATCACAGTTAAAATGTAAATAGAATAAAGAGATAGTAATAGGTTTTTATTGAACCTGTTAAAACTTGTAACGAAACCTGTCAACTGTTGGATCTGTTTCAAGGTAATTATTATTTATCACACGGTTAACGCTATATAGATAATATCAATAAAAATCCATAATCTTAAAAACATCAATAAAAATTTCTTGCCTCGAAAAGTTTACGATTGAACTCACTTTGTTATGTGAAAAGAAAAAACATAGCAAAGGCATGTACTAATACCCTGAAAAGCATGCCGGTCGACGATTTAAGGCACTCAATCGCAACTCTCTTAGACTGTGCAAATTATTGGGTTAGTTAAGAAACGAATATGTTTAACAAATAAATGTACTGTTTAATACAGTCCATATAACTGGTCCTATTTTCAATACTCTCTACTGTTTTTGTTTACTTGTTGTAAAGCGAATAGCGCAATGTTTCATACGTACAACATCGACAAGATACAAGATACTTGTTAAAGAAATTTTCGCTTCAAAACAACCACTGCTTCATTTATTTATTTAGTATCAAACAAGCTGTTTGCAACGAAGGTAAATTTTGTCGGTAGGTTATCTGCTTGTTTGTATCTTGTATCTCGCACTTCCACAAATACGTAATATCGTGCAGTTTTAACGTTACGCATGTGCATTAACGAAATCAAAAAAAGGAAGAATAACTCAAAATTTATTTATTCAAAGCGCTCGAGTGTGAGAAATTTCCTGTTTACTTAAGTAATGTAGCGGAAACAAATTGAAATAGTTAATTTAAATTAATAAAAAAAGGAAAAGAAGATATTCAAAATAAAGATTTTAAAAGAGATAAATTTTGATTTTAAATAAATTCGAATGATTTCATATTCGAAATAAAGATTTATAACATTTTTTTTTTTTGTTAACGGTCTGCGGCTTAACGGTGTTGTACATTTCTAAAATCAATTGAATTCAATTTTAACTGAAACCACAAAGAAAAAATATATTTTTATATAAAAGTTGTATTTTATTGTGTTGAAGATTTGAATGTTGAATGTTTACACTTTTTACCGCAAAAGAAGTGAAATTACAAGATTAATTTTGTGTCTCATTTGAATAACTTATGCAAATTCAAAAAAAAAAAAAATCAGTACACAAAAATATTCAAATTGAAAATTCACTCTAAATCGATTAAAAAATTAATAAAATCACAAGCAAAAGGAATATATGTCGTTTTAAACTTGGTGAGTAAATTTATCCAGTTTAACAATTAAATCGATATGAATGAACTGTTTAGAAAGGTCTTAAGAATAAATACTTTATTGTTATTACTTTCACCTCATAATATTCATAAATGTATTTAATTATTTTAATATTTAACCTATATAGTATTAACTTATATAGAATAATACTATTATAATAGTATTATTCTAAACACAGACCTGAACTTAATGAAAAAAATAGGGCTCTATATATATTAACACTTAAAACAGTGTTGTCTTTACCATATTGAACCCTTAACCCATTTTGAGAATTAAAGAAGTAAAATAAAAATAAAAAAAATTATATACCTAATAAATGGTAGATTTACAAAAGTCCTCTATATAAAAAGTTTTCAAAAGTGATTACAAATTCCAAGTAAGATGACAATAAGTCGTCTCTAACTGAAAACAGAATTAGAATCTTGACGTTATTTTTGTGACTTACTTTACTTGACCAAGAGAAGAATATTAGTTCAGTAATTCTTGTTTTCGTCTGATATTAGGAAATCCTTAACGAAAGATTAATTAAAATAATTGCGTAGATTTTTAAGTTGTTTTTTGGAATGGCATCCGCTGCTGAATACGTTCGTCATTATTGGTATCTGTACAACCACTTTTAAATTCAGTTTTCCAATTAATTATGATTGATTTTTCAGAAGTAAAGTACCTTTAAAACTCATTAGACATTTTTTGCTTTAAATAACCAAATACGCTTCAAAAACTAATAATTTAGATAATTTATTTAGATAATTTATAGATAATTTATTTTAAAAGATAAAAAGTACAAAATTATTTTACTTTATTTAGTTTCTGATACTTTTAATTACCATATAACCATATATATATATATATTACCATATAAACTATGCATTGTTTCTAAAATAATATAAAATATAAAAATCAAGTCAAACAAATTTATTTTATAAAAACATAATTTTAAGCTACACATTCTAAAGTGCTTCTGAGTTAATTCAGTACTTTCAAATCTATTATTATTATTATTATTATTATGTATTACCCAAAAAGAATTTAAACAATGTCACAAAGAAGCATCATTTTAACTTATTTATTGTTTTTTTCTTCACAAACTAAAGAGTTCAAAAAGATGGAATAGTGAAGAAAAAGAATAAAATCTTATAATAAAATTTTACACATGTTAGAAAAATGTAGGTTGCTTAGAAATTTGTGAAATCTATAATAGCCTATGGCTGTGAATAACAATCTTGGGTACTCGTATAATTAAATTGCCAATTTATGACACTAAAAGCAGAAATTCCCATAGAAAATATTTTGGTTGATATTTACAAAGATGTTTTAGAAGAAGATGTTCAATAAAAAGAACACCTTTTTATTGCATTATTGTCAAAGAAAATAAAATTCAGCTTAAATAAATAACAAACTAAGAATTTAATTTCAATATAATAGATAGATACATTCCACATCTTAATGAAATCAAATTTATTAAAAGAATGCATACGTAAACAAAACCACATTTCATTCTAAGACGTTTTAAAACGTGATTCACATTTTTAATTAGAAAAAATTATTTAATAATGCAATAAGTCATGATTTTTGTTATATATAATATAAAAAAAATAATAGTATACTGTATAAACAAAATAAAATTGAAATTTTGAAATGCAGTTGAACTGAAATTTCCAATAATTAACTGCTAAAATTATTTAATATTATACTGTATTAGTATTAATTTGATTTTAAGTTCATTGCGGTGTCATTTCATATGAAACTATAGTCATCATCTATATAATACACTATATATAAAATAAAATACAGAAAACTTGCAAGTCGATTTCTGAAGTAATCTAGCCCTCAAAACTAGCCCTATTTATTTGTGATATACTACAATTATAAAATACAGAAGACCTATCATTTGATACCGACAGTACTCCGTCTATGAATACATATCTGAGATATAATAATCAAAAAGCAAAATAGCTTTGATATCGCGAACTCTATAACTTACAACTGACTAAGATTATTTAAGAAACAAAGTTTATTAGATGTTTTGTCTGGGTTGACCATAATAGCCTATGTGCCTTTCTAAGGCACTTTTTTTATCTCTCTCATCGCGCCGACAAGATTTATTGCTAGGAAGAATTAGTCTTTAAGGCACCTTACCTCAACGAATCTTATTCCATTTCGAGCATAAGAGAGATCTCGTAATTTACCAAGATTCTGTAGTAAGTAATCTGCTAATATCTTTAATCTCCGTATGGCATGAGAAAGTAGTTGTAGAACATGGTTTCCTGACTGAAAATAATTGTAAGCAAGCCCACTATAGAATTGAAATCTTTACAGTGTATCTCCTTTAGAGTTTTTGTTATTTAAGAGTAACCAACTTGTATATAAATGTATACATATCATTGAATCTTCCTACCTTGTATTAAATTACACATATGACAAATTACAACTAGATTTTACACTTGTAATTGAAGATTAAATATTACTTTTTTACAAAATTGAAAATTCTAGTTAGTCTTTGATAACGAGGTATAACAAAATACATAAAACTCGTAATTCGATTTTATATAAGATATTAACATTAAATATTAATGTATCTAGCATTAACACAATCTTAACAAGACAATAATCTTAAATCAAAATCTATCATATATTAAGGCATTCAGAGTAAGCTGTGGGTTATATATACAATATATTAATATCAGTGAATTGATTGAGTCGTTGCTCAATATTGGATATGCTTCACTTAAAATATGAATATTGAGAAAAAATAATTTGTTCACTTATAAATTCACAAAGCAACATCTTCCTATTCCTTCAATGATATCCCTGTAATCGCTAAACTCTTACTATTCCATTTGTATAAACTACTTTTTGTTAAATTTTCACTTTTGTCTGTGTGATATCTCTCTAGAATGACAACGTTCTATTTCTGGTACATCGTACATATTATATTACTCTTTATTATATTTTTATTCATCAGTTATAAAAATAAATAAACAAATGCATTATGCAAACCATATACATACGCTGATCATTGCAATAATTCAATGCAACTATAATTCAATAATTTGAATATTGAATTTCATTAAGTTCCTACCAAAGGAAAAAACTACCCATATAATTAAATTAATTTTGTATTTCATGCATACCAAAAAGGGTTCATAATAATATGCACTTCTTCTAACTCTTTGCTCTTTCAAACCCTTGAGATCTTAAATCAACAAAAGTATCTTCGATTATTTGCGGTTGTACTTATAAAATCATTTTCAATGCAGTTAATATTTTATGCGTTAAGATTTTTCAACAATGTCATTAATTTCAATTATTTTTATTTGTTGAATGCAAATATGAAATTCAAATCATTTCATTCCATTTCATTATTTAAATTCAATGTGATTGGAAATGCTTTTGTACTATTGAACCTATGAATGTAGAGCTGCAGTTATACAAGTAGTTCCCTTATTGGTCTCTCAGTCAGAGATATCATTAAAATTCAATACTCGCACATAACCGTCCAACTTTGGAAAATCGTACCTTTTCATGGTTTTATTTAAATTACAGTAAATTTCATTTTCTTTTCTTATCAGTTTGTTGAATTTATTTACTTTTAAATGTAATCAATTTGACATTTACAAAGTTTAAATAGATACAAACCACTACAGTTACTGCAGACAATCTAACAAAATTTTTGTTTATTTATGGGTCAATGCATCTCTGTTGCTTTCATTTTAACCGCTGACAAGATAAGATCTGTGCTTTGAATGGCATCCCGTGACGCTGATATCAAAGAATCTAACACTTATCTTCGTCTGTTTTCTGTATCTTGTTTACTTGTAGAGAACCAACCGAGAACACAGAGACGATGATTGTTTAACGTAAATATCTAATTTTAAGAGTGTAACAACTTGTGTTTTGATTTACAGGATGTTAAATTTTCAAAACAATATCGTTGAATGAAATACACATTTCCATCAATAGTTTCACTTATTAAAATTGAACACATTTGGTTTACACAAAAAAAAAAAATAAAACCAAAATGCATCGGCATAAAACATACATAGTTTGGATATGTATCTGTAGATAGAGAAGTACGACGGACAAAATGACAAAACAAACAAAAACAAATGATTGTTTGGAAAATCTGCAATAATTCTCAGAACATAAAAAAGTTTCAGTCGATACTTTTAATGTATCAATCATAGACTTATAATCTTATTATGGAATTATATGGGATGTAAATATCTAATATCTGAATTAATATATTGTACTTAACATTTATTTATCAATCTCTTAAACAATTTATTAAAACAAGCAAAAAGTTTATTAAAAATAAACTCACAAGAATTGAACAGTGTGCTTTAAGCTTAAGTATGCTATCTTGTAGCACTAAAAATTTTGTTAATTATGCGATGTAAATCATTGGTAAAGCCTTTTAATATATTTTCTATGAACACAATAATTTAGATCCCTTGAAGTCGAAACGAGCTAAACTTTATTAAATTTTTAAAAAATTTGTATTACATAAACATTTACCAAAAAAACTATATCTGTATGCTTTTATATAATATTTATTAAATTTATTATGAAAATTTTTTGATTTCAAATAATTTATATAAGATTTTTTGCATGCTTTTGATAAAGAGTTATTTTCCCAACTTTACGTAGCACTTCCAGAGATCACTGGCTACATAAATAAACGATTTAAAAAATTTGTAAATATCAAACTTTAATACTCTAAGTTTCTATTATTAAGTTGTATGCTATTATATATATATTTTTTGATATTTATGAACAAGCAATATTTTATATACATTCATCATCAATCCATTATGTCATTAATCAGATTGGATTACCTTATAAAAACTTGTCATCTTCTTATGTTTATTGTTCTTAGTAAAAATTATAAAACCTTTTAAATCAATATTTCTGTGTCTATTTCTTATTAATGATTTGCTAGCTCTACTTAGTTTATATTAATATATGAGAACATAGTAACA